AATTCACATCATAAACAAAGAATAAGATACGCGTTTCTTACCTTTGAGCGGTTCTGTCGGTCCAAAACGCGTTCAATCCATGAAAAGTTGTACTCAATAAATCCGTAATAATCCACAGAAAAAGAATATCAAGTTGTTTTTCCAAAAAATAATTCCATGTGGGGAAATAATCCAGAAAACCGTCGTCCGTATGAGTGGATGAATCCGTGAATGAAAATATTCTGTCTCTTCTCCGCCTCTTCTCCCGCTCTCACTTCCCTTTCTCTCCCGCTCTTGGGTGCGCTTGTTTTCCTCACACTCTTAGCTTCAAAATGAGACCCTCCCAGGCAATGAAGAAGCTAACGCACTCACGTACTTCCTGGCTTTACGCACGCGTCATCAGTCGGGAAATCTTCAGTCATTGGATCTTCCAGAAAGTGATTGACATATTGTTTTAGCCAATCACCAGAGCTTTCAAACGGTGGGTGGGACATTCAGATTGTCGGACCCTGTGTTTATACGCGCAGCCGAGAGGAACAGGAGAGAGACACAGAGAGCAGTAGTAGTAGTAGCAGAACTGCCACTTGGAAGACAATTTTGGCTACTTTTAGTTTTCTTTCTTGAGAAAACATGCCTAAAGCTCAGAAGAATTAGTATTATAATAATAACAATGATTATTATTATTATATTATTATTATTATTTTGGCACAAATTTGGCAATCTTGTGCCGAATTGTCATTTTGTTTACACAAAGGCTCACAGCATCAAAACCCTTTGTCCTAGAGATCTGAAATTCTACACAGTTGTTGCCAACAACTTGAACAATGAGTGTAGTGAGTCACAAATGCCTAGCATGAAGTATGACCAAGCTAAGGCCTTTATTTTTTTTTTTTTTTTTTTTTTTTCGAAGCAAAAAAAATAAAAAAATTTTTTCAATTTTAATTGACTGTACTGTAGGTTAGGCAGCACTCACAGTCTTCATGTACATATCTACAGAAACTAGAAGGACTAAGCTTTAAAATGGTGCCTCACACAAGCATTTGGGTTCTAAGG